GATATGAATATTTGAGCTGAAATCCATCAGCTACTGCGAAATAACCGCTCAATATTCACAAACCGCCAACAGGCAGCCAGTAGTATAGAACTGTGCAATGCTTTACCGTACTAACAACACAAGTATAACACAGGTGTAACATTTAAACATGCCTAAAAATCGACTACGTCCTGTCATTCCTGCTGGCGCAACGTCCCGATTGGCCAATGCCTTTTCCACTTCTCCTTGAGGCTGTTGTACACCGCATCCAATTCTACATGTCGGGTTGGTGCATGCGTTATCAAAATGGATGGCCTCTAAAAATTCGCGGCCCTTCGTAGATGAGCAGACACCTACGATGCGAGCCCTGTCCCAGGCGAATTTATGTCCATTTTCTAGCGTATGCATGGCCACTTGGGACAAGTGGTCTCGTCTCTTTACGGCCAACTGATGTTCGTGTATTCGTGTGGATGTTAACTGTTTTGCACACTCACTTCACGTCTGAAGACGACTTGGAGAACCAAAGACAAAAATTTACAATTAAACTTTTTATCTTCCACAAAGAACTTCTTTTCAAATTATAATTCGTGGGACGCCTGTTTTCAAAATCATATACATGTCAGAATTTAAAAGAAGACGAAGGCACGATCAATGGGACGGTAAATTTATTGGCCTGAGCTTTCGAACTCGAACCGGAGTTCATCACCAGAGACTGCTAGAGTGCAGTAACGTGCAGCATCGTTGTCCGGTGCGGGGGGACTGTGTCCGTGGCTATGTCTGTTTTGTGCCGCCTGGTCCACGATGGTCCCCCGGCGTGGTGACGCCGTTTGGACTTCGCGAAGATGTGAGCTGCGCCACCTGGCTGCGTGGGCGGAACGCGTGATGACACGCAGGCAAATCGATGTGTCTATTGATAGAGTTGCTGCTGTACTCTAGCAGTCTCTGATGATGAACTCCAGTTCGACTTCGAAAACTCAGGCCAATAAATCTATCGTCCCAGTGATCGGCCTTCGTCTTCTTTTAAACAAGAACCTGGGATGCGCATATTCTCTTCCATTCGGTATACATCAGAGTGTAAACGGCAGAATCTGGGGGGTAGATTAATACAGTACTGTTTCGGGCTTATTGTGCCTTCCTTCAACCAATCATAACCCTGACCAACAGCTAGGACCAGAAACACAAACATGTGCACAGACGCACCTTGCGTAGTTGATCCACCACTGGGGTCTACCAGATGGGTCATAAGCACTTCATCGAACCGAAGTTCATCAGTGCCTCGCCACCTGCTATTCGCTGTCGCTGCAGATCGGGTATTTAATCACTAAGAATTGGTCACACCGATCTATTAATTTTCGATTGAGTAAATACCCCATCTGCATTGATAGAGAATGACAGGTGGCGAGGCACTGGTGAATTTCAGCTCAGGGATGTGATTATAACCCATCTGGTAGACCTCAGTGGTGGACCAACTGTGCCTGGTGTGTCTACGCGCATGTTTGTGTTTCTGGTCCCAGGTGCCGGTCAGGGTTGATTGGCTGACTGAAGGCAAAATAAGCCCGAAACAGTACTGTATCAATCAACCCGCATTCTTTGTCGTACCTAGTCGCTGTTATTATGAGTCAACCGACTTTGGCTTGATGGTTGGTTGCCTGTTCGTAACCATTGCAAACATGCGGTACTTGTTTGCTTCGCGAAGCCAATAGGTCGGTGTGCGCCCATTTCTGATGGAATAAATACCCTATCTGCAGTGACAGACACATACATATGTTGAATAACTGATGTGGAGTGCATTCCAAGCTGACAACGAAAAAGCTCTTCGAAAAATCGATTTGTACTCGTGAATTCTTAAGTTGGTGACACAAACCCATCGTCGGACCAAATTATGAGGGAAGAACGTGAGATCGGCAGACTAGATCGGTTGGCACGAGAGGACAGACGACAGACAGGCAGTTGGTGCGCGAGCGGTGTGGGCACCGAGTTATGGTAAGCTTTGGGGCGGGTGGGGAAAGAGAGAACAGTTAGGATTCCCTTTGCTGGAGGTGGAGGAGGAGGAGCGGGGGAATTGCGGATCAGTAGGAATGCGGACGGCTGGTCAGTGATGCGGGATGAGGTCAGGTGGGAATGAGCCGACTTTACAGATTTTAGGGGTTTCGGTTGTTGTTCACCGTACCGCAAGGGGGGAGGGAGTGGCGAGAGAGTAAAATTCTAGGTGGCCGAGTCGGGATTAGCAGTTGCAAGGGCGTGGGAACAAATCAGTGAGCGTGTACGTAAACCCTGGTAGTGCGCGTCTAGATCGACGTGGCGGTTGATGCTGGTCGTACCAGAGAGCCAGCCTTCGGGGAATTCGCGCGCGTCTTGTGTTAGCCATTGCGATCACTTCAGTACCGCCCCAATTAAAGCGGTGGTCATACTGAAGGACGTGCGCAAACGCAAGGGACAGAGGGCTACGCCGGCGGAGGGCTAAGTTATGCTCGTTAATGCGGGTCCCAAGACATCGGCCTGTATGGCCAATACAGACAGAAAGGCAGTTGGCGCACGGGATGCGGTAGTTGACGTTGGTAAGCTGTTCTTTGGTCACCAGGTTCTTTACTCGACATGTTTTACGTATGGGAGATGCGGGCTTGTGGACGATGGAGATGCCAAAGCGCTTTAATTGTCGGGAGAATTTTTAAGAAATTCCTTGGATGCACGACAGTGAATACAATTTTCACGACACTATCTCCATCAGAATCGAGGCTTGTTGGTTATCTCTGGCGTCCGAGGCATTTTTTTACAAAGCCAACCCGACATCCGTTGGACCGGAATAACTGATGCAAGAGGGCCAGTTCTTTCTTTAGTAAGTCACTAATGTTGCAGATACGGAAGGCCCGATAGAGTGCGGACACAACTTCTTTTATGGGCCGCAGGATGATTTCTCCCATATTTAAGGACGATTTCGGCACTCGTCACCGGTAGGCGCTTGTTGCGCGCCCTATTTGCAATTGTGCCGGTGGCGGAAAAACCGATTGTCCTTAGTGACTCCCATGACAATGTCGGCATGCGAATGAGTGCTAGGTCACCATGCATCCAACAGCAACAATAACAGTGTCCGTCACCCCTGCAGGCCTGCGAGGAGCACAATACTCTCCTGACCGACATCTTTTATCTTTCGATGCGAGAGAAGGCGACGTGCATCGACCCTCGATCACGTCAATGGAATTTGTTGGACTACGTCCTAGTTCGGAAACGTGACCAGCGTAATATGCTCGTGATAAAAAGCAGTAGCAATGCCGAATACCGGACGGACCGCCATCTTGTTATCCCTCGGATGAGACTACAACTGTGACCCCGCAGACAACCGGAAGGTAAGCCAAAATCAGGTATTATTTGATATGGTCCGATGCCGATTTAACATTATCCGAAACACTAACCCCAAAGTGGAGAAAATACATGCCCTTGAGGCGCACACCAACATCAGAACCCAGTGGTGGAAGCTGCGAGATACCATCCAGACTGCTCGGTCATTGAATTCCGAAGAAACAACACTCCTGACGGAGAAAACGCAGATCCTGGAGCGTTGGACAGAGCGGGTCAGAGGAGCCCTCAGTCGCTCCTCCACAATCTCCAACGACGCCATCAACGGATTCCCCGAATGGAAATCAAAGCCAAACTCGACTGTCCGTGCTCGATGCAAGAAACCATAAATGCTGTACACCTGGTGTGTACAACGGCAAAGCCCTGGGCGTACAATCCCTTCAAATTAAAATGAACACATATGGCAGTACTCGGCTTACGGGCATGCTAACCGTGCTGCTCCAGACGTGGCGACAAGGACAACTCCCCCAGGACTTAAGGGACCCGATAACCGCCCACATATTCAAGCCTAAGAAAATCCGCTAACCCTGTAAAAACCACTGTGACATATCCCTGAACAATACTGCTGGAAAAGTAGTCGACAGAATTCCCAATTGCCTGACCAACAAAACGGGAGCACAGAATTCTACCTCGGAAACCATGTGCATGCCCAATGTACAGAGGAACAACGGAAATGGTTTTTGCTGTCGAAAAATGTTGAGAAATGAGAACCTACTGTGTCGCTTTCGTTAATTTGACGAAGGCCTTCGACAAACAGAATAACGATAGATTCTGAAAAATCATGCTGATATCTGGACGTGTGGAAAGATTCACACACGTAATCAGACAATTAAGTGATCGAATGATGGCGCTTTCAAGGAACGGCGAGACATACGGTGCAGCATTCGCAGTGACTAGTGATGTGAAAAGGCCATGTACTAGGTTGGGTAACTCGTTCCTCGCCGCCATCACTTCAGATTCGTACTTAGAAACACATCCCAGATTTCCGATGACGACATCAACGAAATCCCCCAGATGGAGATGAACAATGAAATGGAACCGCCGGCTTCCCTTTCAAAAATAATAAAGACGGTACACCAACTCTACACCAAGGATGCATCGGGACCTGTCGCAATGTCGGCTAAACTCTAAAAGCATGGCGGGCCCTCGGCCGATATACAAATTCATAATGCTGTTCCCAGAGGTGTTGCGGCAAGGACAAATCTCTTAGGACTGCGAGGGCACCACCAGTGTGCACACCTCACAGTTTGACCTTCGTTGCCGACTATGTCAACCGTGTGCTCCACAGCAAGGTGAGAACAGGTCCGGCCACTTGTGCGTGAATAAGTTTATAATGAGTCGACTTGCACAGCATCTACCGCACTCTGTCATAGTTAAGATCGAAGGTCGGGGGCGCAGATGGTTGGTACGGCCGGACACACCCAGGCGTACCACTACACTCCCTGAGTAGACAGAAGACGATAAAGAGTGACTGATGCATGGCGCTTTTTTGAAAATGATACGAAACAAATAAAATACGTATCAAATAAAAATGATAAATTGTCAAGGTGACTTGGAAACAGTAGTTTAGATTATCTGTTTAGCAATAGTAGAGGTGTATCTGTTCAAATGTGTTAGACATGTAGATGCTGAGAACAAGATGGAAAAAGGGATGTACGCAAACAAACTCAGATGTTCTGTTGATTAAGTATATCGAGGACAGCCGCAGCGTTGTTCCCGTTTTCAGACAAGAGGAATGTAAGAATGCCATTCTCGTTTGAATATCCCGCATCCAAAAGCACTCTAAGCTCGTCCACGGATGTCGTGGAGGGAGACACTCGGAGTCTCCGGAAGGCTTCGACAATATAGTCGGCATGACCTCTGAGAGCCTCTTGAACGGCGGCTCTCAAGCTCCATGATGGTGAAACTGGGTCCAGTGCACTCGGTGTTGTTGTAGAAACGCCTGTGTGTCTGGTCTCACTTGCTGCCTCAGAGTTGTCATCTACAGAATAACCAACGGAGCTAGTGGCTATACGCATTCGTGGCGGCGGCTGAGTCTGTTGATCTAGCAGACTTGAAGTCTGCGAGGATGTGCACTGTTTAGGCTTCTCCACGACAGAACTCGTACATTCTTGGAAGGAATTTGTCGGTTCATTTATAATATGGCTTCGGCAGTCAGTTGTCTTAACAGACACGGTTGGGACTGAGGGATTTGTCGGTTTTTTGAAATCTGCGCCTGCGTGCGAGTCCCGCAAAGGTTCAGTTAGCATGGGTTCTTCTGGCAATGGCGATGCCTCAGCAGGGTCCTTCGCGGCAGAAAACCCATTTCCAAAGACATAATCGGAATCCGAGTCATCGCCCAACACCTCCCACTCCGCAGCTCCTCCAGATGGAGAGGAAGCAGGTCGTTGGGCCTCGACAGGAACAGACACAGGCACATCATTTGTGTACGTTTCTCCTTGCGTATAAGATGTTTGTGTCTGAGTTCCGATTGATCTAGCAAGGCTTACATCATAAGTGTGAGAAATAATAGCCCGAGACAAATTAAAAAATTCATCAATTAGAAGTCGCTGTCCTTCGTTATAACGCACAGCACTGAAAGGATGTTTCAAATGTTTTCCCTCAGTGAAGCAATGAAAGCATAGGTCAAAGTCAGCGCACGCAAGGCATTTGTAACGGATATCATAAATTTCGCCCTCACAGCCATCACATATAAAGCCTTCATGCAACTTTGAGGGATCAATCGTCGGCGCCGAAACCATTGCTGCCGGTGTGCACACACTGGAGGAAGTAGTATGCATTGTGAACTGCTTAACAGGGTGGATTTGGTTCTTGCAAGTTACGTTAAGTCTGAGAGCTTTTGGAACAGAGAACGGTGCGCCAGAAATGCCGTTTATGTGGTCTTTGATCACTTGCTGGAGCTCGGAACAAGAGCCAATGGTTATGACATCCTCGCCATCTGAAAAAAGTGGGGATGCATAAATCATGGACATGGGCGCACCAAAATCGCACGCTTTTACGAAAATGACTAAAACGAAACCTCTTCGTATTTTAGACAAGAGCTACTTGACGAAGAGAAATGGGACAACACCTCCTACACACTTTGCTACTACAAAGACTACGCATAAAACAAGTGCCCGATATCTAGCCTGACTTCGAAGTCAGGTTAGATATCGGGCTTATTTGCACATTCTGGGATCTAAGAATGTGCTGATAAGCAAGAGTTAAGCCACGAGGCGTAGTGTCGACGCATGCAATTAGCATGAGGCAAATTGATAATACACATAGAGGGAGTTTTTGCAATACATGAGGCAAGAGACCACTGAGAATCTAAACTTTTAAGAGAGCTGCTTTGGAACATCTGTCTTCAGTCGCAGTTACGACCCGAGTACCGGACTCCTTAAGGGTGTGCACACTCCCGTATCCTAACCCGAGACAGCAGTCGGCTACGGGATGCAGAAACATAAAAGGCTGGAACTGCCAAGTCGAAAACAACTTTACAGGACTGTTACAGAAATGACCGTAAGCCACCCATTTGGGCCAGAAGACGTCAAATGAAGCTCCAGACGGGGATTTTGACGGCAGTAGTGCCCGAAGGATTCCTTAAAGCCCCAGCCAAAGTGTATAGGCAAAAGCCAGAACGACGTGTCAAGGTCTCTAAGTAAGGGGGAAACTTGGAAACAGGAGTATTGAAATAAGCCAGTCGAACTGTGCACACACTTACCAAACCATGTAAACGCGAGTTTCGACCCTGGCGAATAACCAAATAATTCGACAGCCACTGCCGATAGATCACTCAGTTCTAAAGGGTGTGAATTCGATGGTCGGTCCCAAATATGAATTTCCTCATCCCCATCGATGCCTTTGCCAACGAACTTTATGCGAACACCCATTTGACAAACACCCAGGTTGGATGAGCACACAGCCTTATATAACCTCGGTAGTGCGGATAAACACAGAAAGCCGAAAGCGGACATACATAGTTATTTAGTTAGTTATTTATTTGCATGTCTGTATAATAAGGGCGTAGAAAGTAAAAACAGTTAATCAGCAGAAGTCGTGGTGGGGACGTTTCTGGTGTGCGCAAGTGTCAAGATAGGTATTATTATAGTTTGGTTTTGTCAGTGGCATAGAAATGAGATAAATGGGCGAGGAGTGTAGCGTCGAGTTATTCCAACATTTCATCGTTAATTACGATTTGACGGAATGTGAGAACGAACCTGCTGGGCCTAATTCGGGTTAGAAGAGCTTGGGGGATTCCTGAAAGTAAAAACCTGGATGGCGGCATCGGCCGTCACAAGTATCCTCTGGATCAGGAACTTAGATTCCCTCTCTGACACTTTGCAGATTGCTTAAAATGCTGACTGGCATCTACAGAGTGACCCGTAATGGTGCTGCGGATGGACATTTTCATGCCGTTTTTTCCGCTTAGGTACCAGCCTTGTCGTTTGATAGATACGACCTTCCCCAACGGACCCTTCTAAGCCTAGCCCAAACTGTCCCACCGTGGCCCGACTGGGTTAGAAGTGACTACGGTTGAGCTGGTCTGGGTCACGAGGTTGGGCTATGGCATGGCATGGACATATGTGGCATCCTTGGCCCCCTCAATGGAAAAATGTGGAGGGAGGCTTGTCTTTTCACTGCTTTCTGGTTCCCTGTTTCGATACCGAATTTATCGTCGGACGTCCACTGGATACCGTGCCACCACTTATTATAACAAATCGACCCCAGTTACGCCCAACCTAGGGTTCCCCACATCACCGGATTAATTACACAAGCAAATAATTGTCGACGCAGCGACCAATATCACAACGTAAGTGGGTTCATTGAAGTTAGGCAAGGAAATGGTTTATGAGGGAAATTGAGAACTTTGAACATGACATATATTGTATGTCCTAAGTAATGACTCGTTAGTGGTATCCCTAACGGTCGCCACGGCAGGTTCCTGTTGCGAACGGAGAAAATTGGTTTGCAAGTTTAGAAGAAAACAGTCATATTAATTCGGTGACCAAAAATTACAATAATAACCATGTGTACGAAGTATTTAGCATGGCGGTCTTCTGGAGACAAAGAAGGTATCTGGGTTCAAAGCTAAAACCGACAATTTTCATGCAAATGAAGTAGCCAAAAATTTAGACAGCAAACACGCATATGAAGTTGTTTACATAAACCTTATAAATAGTAAAGTTGGAAGCTTAATTACCTTGGGGCAAACGTCGAGGTAGTTGATGAATCGCAAGAATAAATCAAAGTAATCAAGTTACTTTCTAGGCGGCCTTCCGGGGTTTAGATCTTCTGCTATGCCTGTCTGTTTCTCCGTGGGACCAGTCAACGGTGCTTTTAAGAAGTGTCTCGGTTGACCAGTTACTGCGTGTTGGATGTAATCGAGTGGCGTCTGAGGAAGTCAATAAATAAAATAGACGTACCAGAGATGGCAGCATGGAGGGGAAAATCGGAGTGTAGTGAACTTTTCTCCAAAGTGGTTGTCAGTGACATTGTGAATGGCCTTACCGGAGGTATTCAGTTTTGCAGTGTATCTCAGTACAGTAAGTTGTTGAGGTAGTTTGTGCGCTTTGTCGCCTGCAGACCTAAACAGAGGTATAATAAATTATGTTTACTGAGAGACCACTGATGTAGGCTGGGTTGGCCGTCTCCGCGGTAGCTATGTGCTGCGCACATTGTCGACATTGCTTGGCCTACAAGTTATTTGATATAAAGGAGCTTGCTGGAGAATTAATGGTGGCGTTGGTCAATGACCCAATCTTTATTCAGATCGCCCTCGCCGATATATGCCCTCTTCATCATCGTCCGAGTTGGACGTTGGCCTGCAGATATAACTACAAAAATATGGCACAGTTATGGGACACATACCTCATTCTCCTACTTCTGCCCATTTCTACAGGCTTGTAATTGGAGACGTCGTCCGTGCCTCCGGCTTTCCTCACGCACCTTCTGGTTTGCTCCAAAGTCAGATTATTCTAAAAAAAAAACTCAGATCGAATAAACGTTTGTTTTGTCCGAGGACTGTAGACTTAATATCACGACAGCCACTGCGTTTTCTACTTCGAATTCAGCAGCCGAATATATCAACCGCAAAGTTTGTAACCTCAATGGTACATTTAAGAACACGGTTTTGAAGATAATAAGACATTCAGAAAACGTTGTTCTACATTAAAAGTATTTAAACGAAGAAAAGGAAAAAATTCGTCATCAGCGTTAAAAGAGACATATTTGCAAACAATGTCAGAAATGGCAGCACTAGGAGTACTTTAGTTTCAAGGGTGAGAAGGAAATGGAAGAGGTAAGCAAGTCTTTTCAGTCAATAAAAAGACCGATACGTTATATCGGCAACCGAAACAGATATCAGTACACACGAACTTTGGATATAGGTACATGCTTGAACGCGAATACAGGAACGCGCGGGTAGGGGGGATGGGTAAATGCCATAACAACAGTTTTAATAACAACAAGCCCTGGCGAGTTGTCGGGACAGTTAGCTGGGAGCAAATGTTTACGTCCATTTGTGAATCCCGTAAATCGTCCTCGTCCTTTTACAGATAGTCCACCAGAAAGACAAAATAAAGGCTTCCGGGACCACCAACAGTGTCTGGTTGCTCAGGGCTTGGTTGAATCGAATTTAGCCAGGTTTAAAGACCACGTCTCGGAAGATCTTGTTTCTTTTTTCAGTTTTTTAGTAGGGATAATAGCCAAGGCCTTTGAAAATTCTTCTGACTACATGTCAGCTCGTTAGATTCAACTGTACATTAGCAATGAAAATATTCGATATTAATACAATACTTGATTCATTCGAGTAGCAGTGTTTCAAGCAAAGCATTCCCGGAGATCACGAGGTATTTAGCTCAGGTTCAGATTGTCGAGTAAAAACAGGGGACACAAACAATCATCCAAATGTTTCGTGAAAAGCCGCAGGGACTTCGTCTCCACGACTGATTATTTAACATCGAAAGCAGCTTCCGAAATTAATTTAATGATTTCACAGAGTTGTGAATCATCACTGGATAAAGAATTTGGGGGATTGTAGATACAGCCAATAATTACCTTTCTTTGCGGCGAGAGAATATCAGATGAAAAGCCGAAGTTTCCCGTGAACGAGGAAGCATCCAAGTAATAGGGAGAGTGCTTTAGGTAGGATTTAATATAAAGAAGACAACCAAACCCACGCCTATTCGTGCGGTCTTGGCGGTAAAAATCGAAGTCATCTATGAGTAGGGCAGAGTCAGGAATTAGAGAATGGGTCCAAGATTCTGTTACACATATAATATCAGGCGTAATTTCCAGACCAATGGCTCTGATTTGGGCCATCTTGTTTACAACAGACCTGGCATTCAATAATATAATATCTAATGTGCTACAAACGGCAGTGCTATTTTCGATGGTATTTAAAAAAAATTGGAGGCGGATATGTAAGCTGTGAATCAATGACACCTGGAGAATAATAACCAGTTAGTCTAGAGTTATTGACGTACGGGGAGTCAGCAAGGGGGGGCTGAGTATGAGACCTAAAGGAGGTGAGGATATAGTTTTCAAACATTGGAGTGCTAGGGATGTTAGAACATGGATAGACTTGTTGGTAGTTAAATAGTGGAGGAAGGGGAGGAGGAGGGAGGCTAGAAGGAAAGTACGGGCTAGTGGGTGAGGGTAGGCCGCTATAAGAATGAAAGGGTGGGAAACCAGGTCTAGGTTGGAAGTCCAAGGAGATAGGTTGACGTACCTGAGATTAATTGACCTTAAGTGGTGGGAAGTCTGAACTAGGTTGGGGCATAAGTGATTTAGGGGAATTCGTGTATGAATTATTTGCTGGATATATAGTAGGGCTTTGATAAGTAACCGGTACGCAGGACAGAGAATTATTCGGGGATATAATTGGAGCTGCGGGGTTTGTAGACGTGCTGGGCTGAACAGACTTGTTAGATCTAAGAGGAGGCGTCGTACCCCAAAATGGAACTGTACTACCTATCTTTTGGGTCGGAGTCTGATTCAATTTTCGAGTCTCACCGTTCTGACGCCAAGCCACGGTTGACTTAACTGTAGACCTTACAGCACCCAGTTGGACAGGAGAAGTTATCGGTCTAGCTGATGTAGACGGATTTTCATGTATCTCAGCGGGACTATCAGGTGGATAAGAAACGACACATGGGGCTGCTGCTGCTGCTGCTGCAAGTTTAGGGGCAGGCAAATGCGTCAAGTGGCTTGAGTGAGATGGAGATGTTTGAGAAAGAGGAAGGAGGGAGCCAGATGTCGTAGGAGTAGGACAAGCTGAATCCTTACGGCCACTTGTATTATGACCGAGTTGGGGAGCATTAGACTGAGAAGCAGCGGGTTTTCGTGAGAATAGAGACCCGATTCTACGCTCCATAGGAGTAAGATCATGACAAAGGAAAAATTTTGCCGTTTCTAGGTACGCAGTGACACGCTCTCAATGGGTAAAGATTGTGGCAATCTCGGTTGATGAAAATAATTTGACTAAGATGGGTGGATTTTTGCTAGGGGAGGACAGGCGTTTGGCATCGGCTATTTTGTAGTTGAAACCACATGAATACAGGAAATTGGTCGCAACATCAATTGGCCGAGCAGATCGAGGAACATTTTTTAGCAGAAATTTGTAAGAACGCTTCTGCCTATCGCTAGATTCACTGGCGATCAGGTGAACAAGTGAGTCGAGACGCCTACATTCTTCAGAGGGAATATCGGAGATGTTCCCGTCGAATAAATGTCCAAGAATTGTCAGCAAAGTGCCAAACTTTAGCATGAAGTCATTGCAGTTGTCAAGTGCAGACAGATTAAGCTGCCGACCAATTACAACGGGGGACGACTGACAAAAAATATCATCTGACTTACATTTAGGTAAAGCTTCGGACTTACGTTTAGTTAG